GGCTGAAGCAAGAGAATTGCTTAAGCCTAAGAATTTGAGGTTGCTGTGAGCTGTGACACAGGGCACTCTACCCAGTGTGACAGCTTGAGACTTGGTCTCAAAAAAAAAAAATAGCAAACTCTTAACAAGATATCAGTTTGCTCTGCCTTTAATTTTCTGCAAAGAATCAGAAAATGAAGGAAAGAGTAGGGAATCTGGAAGGGCTTCTTTGATGTAGTTTTCTCAGGCATCTTTGACTTTTTGAAGAAACTGTCTGAGGCATATCTACTTGTAGCCTTCTCTTCCAGATTCCTCTGCATTAGCACAGACCTTAGAGATGGTTTTACTCTTAAAATCTTTCTACTTTTCTTTTGAGTTCTATCTCCTTACCTCCCGCAGCACCTTTGCATACAGCCTACCTGTCAGGGAACACAGATCTACCTTATAATTAAATGGAGGTTGTTTATGGCAAATGTTTCATCCTGTGATTTTCACTAGAGTCACATCATAGAATGATGAAAGCACTGGATTCTGATTTAGGTGGTGGTTGACACGCCTTTTAATATCCTGGTATAAATCAAAACATTGTCATCTGGCTTATAAGTAGTCTTATGTTAGTTTGGTTAATCAGGCACTTGTCTAAAATCTGACCATCTCTAGATTAAGAAAATGGATTCTAGGATGTATAAGGTTGAGGCTGTGAAAACCCCCATAAGGTGCAGGTTCATTAGGAGGCTTTGAATTTTTAAAAAATTACCAGGCTCTCTTCTCATTTGTGTAATTTTTCAATTATAGAAGTAATAACTGTTCATTGGTAAAAATTCAAACATTATAGAAATATATGAGGTCTGACAATTAAGTTCATGAACTCATTCTAGAAAAAGTGCTACATACATCATTGTTGAACATCACTATGGTCCCACACTCAAAGCACTCTCCTTGGGAAGCTATGCACCAATGCAATATTGAAAATGGTTTTCTGGAACAGCCATCAAAGTTATCATTATATTATCCTTGATGCCATGAATGCCACCAAAATGTCTTCCTTTCAATATTTCCTTATCTTTAAAGGAAAAAAGTCATTGGGGGCCAGATCAGGGCCAGTTGCAATATAGTTATTGGAATCAGGGAGGGTATTCCAATACCCTTATTTGTTTACTGACTAAAAATTCCCTCAGATAGTGTTGTGAACTGGTACACTGTCATGATGCAAGAGCCACGAGTTGTTGACCTTTTAGTTAAGAGTTTCCTATTTCTCTATTGATGTTTACTGGGTCTGTTATGTTTTCCATAGTCAGCAAATAATTTTGACACATGTGATGAATTTTTGCAATATTTTTGTCAGTTCTGCTGCTTACTGCCTGCCCTGACCTTTCTTTATCAGTGATGCATTCTCTTTCCTCAGAAATAATGTTTAATCCATTGGTACACTGCTGTTTTCCTTATGGAATTATCTCCATTAACTTATACTAACATGTCCCTAACTTCACTTCTACTCTGGCCACATTTAACAAGAAATTTATGAATGTTTGTTCATTGCTCTAATTCAAGCTCTAACATTCTCACAACGGCATGTGAAAACACACAATACTTGCCACTCAGCAAGACACTGCCACAAGTCCATGTGAACACATTATGAGATACTGATATATTAAGGTTATGAAACCTTACTGAATTGTCTGTACAGTGGTGCCAATGTAAGTGCATGGTGGCAAGTTCATGAAGTAAACTGTCAGACTTTGTATAATATGGAACAATTAGGTATATAACTAAAAATGTATCACACTATACCCTTAGTTCTGTAACTTGTTTTTGCTTAATATATCTTAAATTTCTTTCTATCTGAAAATACACTTTTCTGTTCGTTGTAAATGGTTATTATAATGTAGACATTATAATTTAACCAATTTTAGTCAATACCCTATTGATAAATATTTGGGTTATTTCTAATTTTTCTCTACCAGTGTTGCGAACATCCTTTATGTGTATAAACAATAGAATTTTACAAATTTGTATAAGATTTCTTGCAAGATAAATTCTGAGAAATGAAATGGCTAGATCAAGAGATATGATAATTTGAAATTCTAATGGCCTCCCTCAAATATCCATACCAGTGAACTTACCCACTCTTAGAACTGAGACTTCCTGTTTCCTCAGACCTTGTACATTTCCATCTTTCTTGGCACCTTTTAGATATGTTCAATTTGCCAAATCTAAATACCAAAGGAATTCTGGTATTCCCCAAATGACCCAGACTGTAGATATTTACCAGAACATAGATACCACCTCAGCCAAAGACTGAAATGAGAGGACTATTTTCATCTTACTTACTATCTCTTGGGTTCCTCATTGGATAAGACTGAGTATAATTGTTTACACAGTGTATTAACTGTGGACTAATAGAGGCACAATAATTTTCCACTGCTTTGATCTGAGATGGGCCAGGAGAAGAGTCTGTTCGAAAAATAGCTTGACAGTACTCTCGACAGTTTGTATGATGACCTGCATAACTGCAGCAAACGGAGCCCACTGTGGGGGAAAAAGAGGACATTGAAATGAAAACAGCTTCTTGTTAATAATAAATCATTATCATATGATGCAACAATCTCTTTCTAAATTCTAGAAACAAAATCATGCCATAGTAAAACAAGCCCTTAAAATAAGCACTTCTGTAGGCATAGTCGTGGGGACATTCAAATACTCATTAGTATAAGAAAGTCATTATTCATCAACTAACGGTCTATAGTCCATTTGTTGGCAGGAGTAAGAGTCTGGTGGCATGTGGAAATATTTCTGGTTGTCATGGTAACTCAGGGACTACTATTGGCATTTAGTGTGTGGCGGTCAGGTCTGCTAAATGTCTTGCAATGCATGGGGCAATCAAGCTATCTCCCAAAATACCAAGTGTGCCCATGCTGAGAACCACTGAAACAGCCTTCTTCTGTGTTAGACTTGTAGATGTTTATAAACAAAGCAAAGTAAAACAAACCTAAAACCAAACCCCAAATGCCTCACATCAAACAGAATCAGCAAAAACTAAGAGAAAGCAGGATCATTTAATAAATTTGCAATTATATACTGGTGTATCTTAAAACAAAAGTTTGAACATCTATCCTTAAGAATATGCCTGAATTGAGATAGTCTCTAACAATTGGTGTACTTTAATTATGAAAAGTAAACTCATTTGAAATGAATATGACTCTAGATTTTGTATTTTTTTTTTTAAAACATCATTCTTTATTTTTATTTATTTTGCAGTTTTTGGCCAGGGCTGGGTTTGAACCTGCCACCTCTGGCATATGGGAACCGGTGCCCTACTCCTTTGAGCCACAGGCGCCGCCCCTAGATTTTGTATTTTAACAAAATCAATGCCATGTAAGGTTATCATGGGAGGGCTAGATGAGTGGCTGGGGGTGCAGATTTATAACAGAAGAGCAAGAGACTCATAGGTGTTTAAGGGGGTCTTCAGGAGGCTGAAGGGAGCAAGAGTAGAGATGTGGCAGGAAGAGGTCAGGAGAAAAGCAGGTAATTATTAGAGATAAACACAGAGGAACTTGAATCAGGTTTCCGGTGAATTCCATAGACTAATGAGTGGGGATTTCAGGTGACTTTCACAAATAGTGACAATGATAAAGTAATATACAAATTTACTGAATTAGGAATGAACTAACTACTGTAGAATAAGCCTCTGTTTCTTGGGCCAGGAAATGTTCCATACCTATTGTGCCCCCTGTTTTGGATGTGCAATTACTATCAAATTTACTATGCCTACTGCTGAAAACTTTCCTTTTTATCACAAAGAACAATTATTTATGGCTATGTTCATCACTGTGAATGTTAATAAGGACTAATTGGGGGTGAGTGGTGGGGAACGGTGAGGACATGTAAGAATAGACAAGTTGGAATAGGACAAGATGCCTATCTTCTGATTGCCTTGTTAGGCTGGCTTCCTCACCAGTGTGGGAGGACATGCCAGAGACTATCTGGAAATCCTTGAACTGAGCCCCAGTTAGACAGAGAAGTTTAAGTGTAGATAGCTCATGTTTTTTTTCCCCCCACCAACCTAATCTAAACAACTGTTTCTTAGATGTGTTTTCCCATCACTAATTGCTCTCACTATTCCCTTCGCCTGGAATGGCCGCCTTCCAATCTCCACTGTTTACATCTTGTCCATTCTTCAAGGCACAGCTCAGCAAACCAATCCACGAAGTCATCTCCAAGTGTCCCTGCAGAATGTGATCTCTCCTTCCCCTGAACTCCTGTAGTACTTTTATCAGTGACACTACCTCATTACCCTATTGTGTCCCAGAGTTCTTTGCATACAAGTTGTATCCTCCACAGAGTTGTCTGCACGCACTGAGCAAGGAATCAAGGTCTGCTGAAGGGGGAAGCAGCCCTCGGTGTTATATAATATAATATGATGTGGTCCCACTTAATGGGTCATGGCCCTCCTCTACCATTTCTAGTTCTAGTATCTGCTCTGTAAACCTAGTTAGTACATGGGAATTGTTACAATAAATGAATGACTTGAACACCCTAGACGAACAATTCTATCAGGATCCTCCTATGCACGTTCTTTCAGACAGCTTA